CGTGGCGCCCACGCGGAACTCGAACGCCTGCAGCGCCTCGAAGTCCAGCGCCCTCAGGGCGAACAGGTGGCCGTTGTCCGCGTTGATGGACACCAGCGAGGCCAGGGGCAGCTGCGGGTCGTGGGGCGGCAGCAGCGAGTAGGTGAGCTGGGCGTTGGCGCCCGCGTCTCTGTCTGTGGCGCTGACGCTGCCGATGTGCAGGGCGGGGCTGTTGTTCTCGCGGAGGAACAGGGTGTAGGAGGTTTGGGTGAAGGCGGGGGCGTTGTCGTTGACGTCGGAGACCAGCAGGGTGATGTTGTGCTGGGTTTCCAGCCTGGGGGTCCCCAAGTCGGTGACGGTGATGGTGATGTTGTACTCAGATCTCATCTCTCGGTCCAGGGCTGTGTTTGTCACTATTGTGTAAAAATTCTCAACAGAGGGTTTAAGGAAGAACGGAAGGTGATCTTGGATGGAGCAAACCATCCTTCCATTGTCTCCCGAGTCAGGATCTGAAACACTGAATACAGCAATGACGGTCTCCTGCAAGTTTTCTGGGATTTCATTGATAAGCGTTGACATGGTCAGTTCCGGAGGGTTGTCATTCAAATCTACCACGTGGACAAGCACCACACAACTTCCAGAAAGACCCCCACCATCTATCGCCTGGATATGTAATGTGTACGTCTGAATGGATTCAAAATCCAGTTTCTGTGTTAAAAGGAGTTCTCCCGATTTTGCATTTATTCGAAAAGTTTTGCGAATATCTTCCGAAGCCTGGGAGAAGACATAAGATATTTCTCCATAGGCTCCAATGTCTAAATCTCTAGCCGAGACCATAGCCACCTGGGATCCAATGGGGCTGTTTTCCAGAACCTGGACTTCATAGAGCAACTTTGCAAATTCCGGGGCATTATCATTGATGTCCAAGACTTCAATGCGGACCAGGGCGCTGCCAGACCGGGGTGGCGCCCCGCCATCCAGCGCCGTTAGAGTTAACATGATCTCAGACTGTTCCTCGCGGTCCAGCGCTTTGTCCAGCACCAGCTGTGGTAATATTATGCCGTCGGAACTGTTTTGTAATTTAAGATGGAAGTGGGAATTGGGACTGACTGTGTAACTTTGGAGACCGTTGCTTCCCACATCTAAATCCTGGGCACATTCTATTAAGAAAGCAGTCCCGGGAGTGATACTTTCTGGGATTTTCAAAATTATTTCTTTGTCTAGGAAAACCGGGGAATGATCATTTATGTCCCTAATCCGTAGCTCGGCCTGAAAAAACTGCAAAGGATTTTCCAGTAACACCTGGAAAGGGAGCACACAGGGCTCGGTAGGGCCGCACAGCCCCTCCCGGTCCAGTTTCTCATTTAACAACAAATCCCCGGTCTGCCTATCCAAGTGCAAACGCATTTTTTTCCCTTTGGAAACGACGCGGGCCCCTCGCGCAGCTAGCTCATCTACCTCCAATCCCAGGTCCTTTAACAAATTGGCCACAAAGGAGCCACTCTCCATTTCCTCGGCCACTGAGTAATGCCTAGGCGCGGAACCAGCCTGAGCTATGCCCAGCAAAACAAAGAATATCAAGACTTGCCTTTGTTTCAGAAAGCGCTCCTTTCCTTCTCTGGCCTCCATCTCCTCTGCTCTCCCAGCGAACCTGACCCAGCTCCGGCTCGCGAGGTTGCTGACTCCCAGTAGGTCCTAGCTACAGGGATAGGTGGAGACGCCTAGGGCCCCGATTTCCCGGATCTACAGCCGGAGAACGCCTCCCCTTCCTGCTTGATTCTTTAGCAGAGCCTCTGGCTTAAAGGAGGGCGGACTGGTCGCTTTCTTCCTTCTACTTCTAATGCTGCAGCGCCACCCCGCGTCCTTTCCGAGTATGTACTTTCTCCAAAACATTAAGAAAATCCCAATCCCTTCTTTCACACTGATGACAATCTAAATGGAATACTTTCAAGTGGTATCTTCCAACGTACCGAAGTCTTATCTCGTTTCGAAAGGCTTTTTCATTGCACCCACAATGGCATGGCAAACACAGACAAATTTCTATTCCAATTTCCTCACAGATTCAAGCAGTTATGTTTAAACTGGGGGGAAAAAAATGAACTTCTGAAACTAGAAGGCTTTGACTGACTAGTCAGTTTCCAGTTATTATTCAGAGTTCCAGCATGCGCACATCTCAGTGGGCGTTAGGTTACCATCCTCACACTTAAGCCAACAGAAAAGTACAGAGACCCAGGTAACATAGAATTCACATAACATTCTCATGGACACTGAGATATTCTTTTTGCTCATAGTTCTCTCCTGCACTCTCCCACTTCACATTTTCCTGAGATTTGGTGCATTCGATCCACATGAAATTTTCCTAGCATAGCTGGGTAATTCTTATGAATGTGTCAATATTTTTATTTTCCTTTCTAACAGATAAGAGCGTTAATTTATATAACTTCAATTATTGCATCTAGCAACACTAATCTTTTCATAATATCAAATACCCAGTAAATATTGAAAAATTTTCCAATTATCTTTTTGTGTGTTTTTTAAATATATGTGATCAAAAGAAATGAGTTCTCAATTTTTTTTAAAAAAGCCATGGAGGAAACAAATGCATATTGTTTAGTGAAAGAAGCCAGTCTGAAAAGGCTACCTATGCTATTATTGCAAGTACCTGACATTTTGGAAAAGTACAGGCATGTTAAGAAGATTAGTTGTTGCAGGGGGGAGTGAATAAGAGGTAAAACATGGGGACTTCGGGGGCACTGAAACACTGTAATAATGGATACATGGCATTACACACTTGTCAAAACCCATAGAATGTACAACACAAAGAATGAACCCTAATGCAAACTACAGACTTTAGTTAATAATAATGGATCAATATGGATTCATCAGTTCTAATAAATGTACCACACTAATGCAAGATGGTAATACTAGAGTAACTGTGAGTGGAAGAAAGTGGGTATATGGGAACTCTGTATTATCTGCTTAATTTTCTGTAAAACCTAAAACTGTTCTAAAAAATAAAGTATATTAATTAAATATTTGTATGAAAACATTTTCAAATATACTGTATGGAAAAGTTAAAAAGAACTATACCAACATAATTCTACCTAATTGAAAATTTAAAAGTTATTTATATTTTATCTTATTTGTTGAATCTATATATTTTACTCTACACATATACCCTCTTTGTTTTCTGACCCATTTGAAAGCAACTTGAAGACATCATGACACTTCACCCCTAAATATTTCATCTCCCAAGTATAAGTACATTATCCCACACATTCATAATGCCACTATCACACTTAACAAAATTAACAATAATTCCCTAATATTATTTAAAAAATCCAGTCCTTATAAAATCTCAGCCCTAGCTGGTTTGGCTCAGTGGATAGAGCATCAGCCTGGGGACTGAAAGGTCCCAGGTTTGATTCTGGTCAAGGGCATATGCCTGGGTTGTGGGCTTGATCCCCAGTAGGGGGCATGCAGGAGGCAGCCAATCAATGATTCTCTCTCATCATTGATGTTTCTATCTCTCCCTCTCCCTTTCTCTCTGAAATCAATAAAATATATTTAAAACATTTTTTAAAAATCTCATCTTTCCATTATCCTTCCCTGATTTTCTTCAACTTGAAGAGAATTCATATTCACTCTTGAGATTTGTTTGTTTGTTTTTTAACAAATGTGCTTGCTTTCTTAACTACCTGTTATAAGAAATTTCTTAGAAATTTTTTAAACCAAATTTTATGATTGTATTGGGTGTTATATCTGTTTATTCTAGAAAATTTTCCCATCTTTTATGATATTTAATTTCTTGAAGTGTTCAGACCAGTTGTCTTATAGGGTGTCCTACATTATGAACTTGTCTGATTGTTCCCTCATGGTGTCATTAAACCTGTACCTCTATCCTCTGTATTTCCAGAAAACTGGAATGAATGATTTAGTAAATGTAACAATGGCATAACATTTTTTAAAGCTCTCATTTATTTATTGTACTTGGGTTTTAAAAAATTGAGCAATTACAGGTTCCCTTTCTTAATATTTAGAAATAAATTCCTACTTGTATTTTGTTGTTATGATTTTTGCTTTTCATGATTACTTTTATATTAAAACTATAACCCAAAATATTTTAATGCATTGACATTGAGCATTTAACACACTTCATCCAGGTGAATAAACCCTAAGACCCAAGTCTTGAAAAAATGCTCTTTACACAGACTGCAAAACTTAATTAAGATCAGATAGAGATATAGTGATGATTGTGTACATCATAAAGGAAAATAATGACTAGTAAATCACTTGAAATTTTACATTTAACCAAGCATATGATTATTTAGTTATGATAGGTTCTCTGAATTAAAACAGTTATGGTGAATTGGGGGATGGCACGAAGGAGAGGAAAGTTTGAGTCATAAGTGTTCTCACAACTCATAAGGTTTCATTCTTCTTTCCGTTTCAAAGGTATTCATACATCTAGAAATAAACGGAAGTTTCTCCAGAGATGACGGAACCAGTGCTGATTTTTTTTGTCAGTGGTTTCCAGATTTCAATGCATTATACCCATGGTTATTTTCTTTTCTTGTAAATCCTCACCCAAGGATATTTTTTTCCATTGATTTTCAGACAGTGGAAAGGAGGGAGGAGGAGGGGGGAAGAGAGACACATCAATTGGTTGCTCTGGCATGCACCCCAACTGAGGCCAAGAATCCAACCCTCCAATGGTCTTCAGCTCACAATCTAACTTTACACTCAGCGATCAGATGGCAAAAGAGGGGTTTTTCAGTGACTTACCTCTGAGGCCCTGCAGGAAATATATGAGAAATATCCTAGCATGGGAAGGGAGGGTTCTAGCACCTTTTATCGTCTTAGGGTGGAAATTTTGGACCTGTGGTAACACTCAAAATTTTGCTTTTGCTTATTAAGGATACAAAAGATATATTTTTCTGTAATCTATCAAGATATACACTTTATGAAGCTCAAGCAATCGGGATTTCAAAGTAAAGGTGATTCAAGTAGGGGTTTATTCTCTTCCCTAGTACAAATATGCAACTAATGGTTTTGAAAGAGAATTTACATAAGAAAAATCTTGGCATTTTTTAGTTTAAGGAGAATCATCATAGCCTATTGGTACAAACTGTTTCCTTGGGAAAAAAATCTTGACCAGATATTATCATGAGTTCTAGTTGGATTTGAGTATATATAGATTGTTTTGCCAGTCCATATTACATGACATTTTCTTTTATTGTATTGGAGATGCTGGAATATTAATTGCTAAAGAATGAATTGTTTTTGATGTTTAAGAAAAAAGAAAACAGTAAAAGTTAACAAATACAAATTTAGCACTGCAATAAATGAGCTACACAGCAACTCAGTAAAATATGCCTTAAATAATGAAAGAGACATTTATTTCCATCAATGAAAATTTCCCCCTGTACAGCTGACCCTTGAACAATGTATGTTTAAACTATGGGTCCACGTATATGGGGATTCTTTTCAATAAATACCTGTACTGTTTTCCATCTGTTGTTGGGGGTTTGCGGATGTGGAGAGCCGATTGTATGCACTGATCTACACCATTTATATAGGGAACTTCAACATTTGTAGTATTTTCAGGGGTCCTGGAACCAATCCCCCTCGAATACCAAGAAACAACTTAAGTTTGGGGGGAGTCAAAAGTTATATGGGGATTTTAATTGTGTGGGGGTTAGCACCTCTAACTCCTGCATTGTTCAAGGTCAACTGTAGTTTTATATCTGTATTTGATTTTGTGTCATCATCACATGACTTTTTTCAAATATAAAGTAAGAACTACATAATATTAACCATTTCAAATAAATTGTTACTTGAATTTAATAGATGGAGAACAAACCTGTGAACAGTAGACTATTGCAATGTATCAGCCATCATCCATGAAATATCAAGAAAAGCAAAAGATGACTTTAAAATAGCCTGACCTTCCATGGGAAGTTATGAAGACTATCGTTTTATGTATAGACCTGGAATGAGGTTTTTTTTGTCAAACTTCCAGATATCTGTTAGAACAGTCCACACACAGTCTTAGAGGTAACTTACCTTTGGAAGATCAAAGAAAATTAGGTATGAGCAGGAAAAAAAATGCATTTGTTTCTGCACTCAACAAGAAAGAGGCTACTGGCTTCTAAACAAAGACCATTGTGAGGTAAATAAAAAGATAAAAAGAGCTAAGCCATTAGTACTTGTTCACTATATATTAACAATTATTTATGTTTCAGAAGCAAAGAAAACACTACTTAAGTTAGAGCCATAAAATACCAACTCTAATGTTATTTCCTCTCCTCTTTACCCAGAGTCTTATAGTAAGAATGCCAAAAATGATATTGGTCTCTACCTATTGTCGTTTTCAGCTTCGAGGAACCTAATTTCATTTGCAATAGAGTGATGTTGCATGTATCTCCCTCATCTCTGTATTGCACTAGGTTGGCAAAATATGGACAATTTTTAACATTCAATGAAAAAAATTCTGGAAGGATCAAGGCATTTTCTTTTTATTCCAGAATGCTGAGATGATGATCCTTAAGGAGGTGAAGTCTGTTTCTAGAGGTACTCCAGGATGAGCAGATAGGTATCAAAATGACTAATTCAATGGGCTTGTCATCCAACATCCTTCACATGAAGAAAGATATTTCTGAAACTATTTCCAAAGCGAATTGCCTGAGAATTTGCTACATAGCCTTGAAATTGCCTGGTAATTTTCTTGCATGGGCGCTTTATAATGCACAGATATCAGTAGCATTTAAAATACTTGGCGAGTACTTTCCAGAGGTTG